CATCGATAGGTCATTATAAACATATGCCGACACCCGAGCTAAAGCTTATCATCAGTGCTGGATTTAAAAGAAAAACATATATATCTTTACCGTTTTCTGCGTCGCTATCCTCATCAGAGTCGGACGCTATTGCCTTTTTATGCCTCTGTCGACCAATCTCCTCTTCACTATCACTTCCTTTTCCAGACACTACAAAAGGACACCAAGAAATTAACAAAAAATAGAGCTTAAAAAAAATCTCAAAGTTTGAGTGGTGAGACTTTACAAACACTGGGACATAAGTTTCATGTAAAGCGAGAAGACAAAAGAACATTAGAACATTCCAGCATTTGAAAGAGAACAGCAGTACAACTCACTCGATTTGTGCTCTAGTTCATCGCCATCGGAATGCTGCGGCTCGTCGTCTGAGCGATGTCGCTCATTTTCTTCATCATCTGAATGTTGGCGCTGTTCATCGTCTGACTGTCTGTGCTCCCGATCTTCATCATCAGAATGCTGCTGCTCGTCATCTGATCTCCGACGCTCCTGTTCATCATCTGAATGTTGAATCTTTAGCTCCTCATCGTCTGAATGCGGATGATCATGATCGTCACCATCTGAGTGCTGTCTCTCATAATCAGAATGTCTGTGTTCATTCTCCTCATCGTCGTCTGACCGCTGCCTGTGATCTTCATCGTCTGACCGCTGCCTGTGATCTTCATCGTCTGACCGCTGCCTGTGATCTTCATCGTCTGACCGCTGCCTGTGATCTTCATCGTCTGAATGCTGCCTGTGATCTTCATCGTCTGAATGCTGCCTGTGATCTTCATCGTCTGAATGCTGCCTGTGATCTTCATCGTCTGACTGCTGTCTGTGCGTCTCTTCATCTGATCGCAGGTTACCCTCGTCATCGGAATGCCGGACCTCATCATCCGAGTTTTGCATTTTTTCCTCATCGTCAGATTGGTCACTTTTATCCTCCCTGGCCCACTTTTCATCCTCAGAATGAGCTTCTTTTTCTGAGCCTTCTGCATCTGAGTGACGGCTACTGTGATCGGATTTGTGCCCTCCATCTTCATCATTGTCTTCATCACGATCATTTTCAGAGCCGCTATGATGTTCAGCATCTGACTGATCGTTCTCTTGATCGGAATGAACATTACCTTCAGATTGATTATCTGATCTTTCTGAACGAATGTAACTACCGCTGTGCGGGGAGCCGGCTTCGTCCTCGCTGTCATCGCCAAACAATTCTTTATTGCTGGGCTTCACTGCGGAATGCCCATCATCATCATCCCGCTCACTGTCACTTCCAGAAGGGTTACTAACCGAGGCAACATTCCTTGGTTCCGAGTCAGAGCCGGACCCAGAATCGGAGTCTGAAATGAAAAGAGCTGCAGTTAAAATTTTGTAATAAAAAGGTGTTGGGTAAACATGTAGTGGATGACGATCAACAATCGCCCTCCTTACCATCTTGTCTTGAATTGTATTGTGACTGTATTGTCTTCCTTATATTGTAAAGCGCTGTGCACACTATTGGCGCTATATAAATCCTGTATAATAATAATAATAATAATATCTCATGGCAGCTCTCTTTTTAGCCGTTCACATTCAAGCACATCAAGACCTCTTTCACATGTTGCCCCATACATCGGTGAAGGGACAATTGTTGATGTGCCCAGGGCTGCAGGAAGAAGTCTGCGGGCAGCTCATTTAACTCTTTGGGGACGCAAAAAAAAAGCATGTACAGTGGCAAAAAAAAGTATGTGAACCCCATAGAATTGACTGGTTTTCTGTAGTAATTCCCATAAAATGCGATCCGATCCTTATCCAAGTCACCACAATAGACAAAGCACTGGGGGGAATTTATTAAAACTGGCAGAAAGTATATGTATCTTGCTGCACTCCTTACCGGATCTTTGCAAATGGGTGCTCGCAGTGACCACGGTGAAATAATCTGAAAATATAAAAGGATGTCACCAGCACACCCACCGAGCTGTTGTGTTCAGCAAATGTCCATTTTAATGACGCACAATGTCATTCAATAGCAAGTACTTTCGGGGCCTCGCGGGGTCCCCGTCATCAGGCTCAGAAACGGGGACCCTGCGAGGCCCCTTAAGTACTTGCTATTGAATGACATTGTTTGTGATTAAAATGGACATTTGCTGAACAGCTCGGTGTGCTGGTGACATCCTTTATATTTTTTTTAATTAAAACTGGAGCAGACAATCTGGAGCAGTCGTCCATGGCAACCAATCAGCTTCTCTTTTTAGTTTATCTTTGAAAATTAAAGAGAAGCTGATTGGATACCATAGGGGCTCCAGTTTTGATAAATCCCCCTCAATGGGCTTAAGCTGATAACACACAAACAATTCTAATTTCTTGTGTCTTTATTATACACACCCAATAAACATTCACAGTGCTGGAGGCCGGCAGTGACAGCTTCCTTCTGGGTTCGGACTGAACCCGAGCTCATCCTTAATGGTGACCATTCTGACCTGGACAGAAGGTGATAGCAAAGTTCAAATGTTCTAATTGTCACCCAAACAGGAGAAAACCTTTCCAAGGGGCCCCCCTGTTGTGGACCCTCCTCACGCTTCCCATTGTTTCAATGAAACACAAAGTGAGTGAAAATCTCCCCAATAGAACAGATGGCAAAAAAAATGTCTATATTATTATACAGGATTTATGCAGCACCAACAGTTTGCACATTACAATATAAGGAGGACATTACAATACAATTCAAGACAAGATGGAAAGGAGGGCCATACAATCTAAAAGGGAGGGGAAGCGATACATGATAGCTGTGTGGGGATGAATTGTTTGAGAATGTGATGGTTCCGTGGGTAGGTTGAGGTGGGATACTAAAACAATTCCTGGATTTGCCGGTCATATAAAAAATGGGCACTACATTACAGCACCTACCTAGGGGTAGGCAACCTCGGCACTTCAGTTGTTGTGACACTACAAATCCCATCACCTACTGCAAGACTGACAGCCACAGGCATGACTCCCACAAGCATGCTGGGATTTGTAGTTTCACCACAGCTGGAGTGCTGAGGTTGCCCACCCCTGACCTACACTATATCTAACATCCATGAACAGTGTACATTTGATTGATCTAGCCACTATGTACAGAGCAACTACACTAGATGTAATCTCCATGAACAAAGCACCTACACTAGATGTGACATATGCCCCGATCACCCACATTACATCTGAACAGAGCACCCAAGCAGATCAGAAGTATGACCCCCTGACTGTCATCCACCTGCAGTGAAGACAAGAAGAAAGCAGAGCATGCTGGCATTTGTAGTTCTATAATGTATAAAGTCGCATGTCGTCTAAAGTGATCCTGTGTTGGGAATACATGTAGCCAGGGACTGCTGAATGTGGAGAGAGAGAGAAGAGAGAGTGTGTACACACCTATAGCCATCCATACCGGAATGTGAATGTATGTGAGGGCAGAGCGCTCACCCCGGGGCTTTCCCTCACAACACACACATGACTGAGCCCCCCGGGCTGGGTGTGACCTCCCCTGTACACTCACCGTCCCTTTTCTGCTCGTTATCAGACTCGGCATCGCTCCCGAACAGCCCTTCCAACACGTCCATGACTGGGCCTCACAGCCGCAAAGCGAGCGAAGTGTCGTAAAAGCGGAAGTAGTCCACCGGAAGCGGCAGAACCCGGGGAGGAAGTCCGTAAATTATGGTGTGTGCTGCTGTAAATAAGCTGTATATGTGTCTCTGCAACACCCACGATTCTGCTTCTTCATACTGATCATATTCAGGGACCGTTCCTGATCACTTGTCCTTGGAAACATGCTTGAAAACGGTTCTGGTGTAAATAAAATCTTCCAGATATACCATAAAGTGCTGGAATTTGTTACGGTTACTGGAAGTGAGGCTGGGCTTTACACATGCAGGTCAAAGCAGTTATGTGTTCGCATAGGCCGCGTTCACACCAATGGTCAGTGGTACATTGTAATGGATGTGCATTCTTCTATGTGTTAACATGCATTTCATTGAGGCTGGGTTCACACCTAAGCTATTTATCGTGCGGGTGTAGTCACGCGATATCGCAAACAACAGATTTCCATTCAGGTCTGGAAACAGTTCAACAGAACTGTCACACATTAGAAATGGCCTGTCACGCAAAAAGGTGCAAGAGCTACTTTCGGGCGGTTGTTGCGCCTCATAGACATCCCTATGTATTGAAAACTGAGCGGTTTTCAAAGCAAAAACATTTCACAATGCAATTGCCTAGGTGTGAAGCTAGCCTGAGGCAGTTCACTCATTTGAATGCGCTACCTGCCACATCAAGTCACTCTAGAAACGTGTACGTAAATCTTTTATATAACTAGTGTTGCCACCTGTCCGGGGTTCACCCGGACAGTACTGGTTTTGAGTCCTGTAACCGGGTTTCAGGCCAGCTGATACCCGGACACAAAATGTCAGTTTACTGAAGACCGATATCCCCCTGCTGTGTAAATGGCTTCCTGGTCACTGTGAAGAGAGTAATACAGCTCTGTGATTGGCAGATATTAATCATTTGTCATTGTGTGTGAAGACCGGTGTGAGACTTTTTTCTTCTGTTCAGGTCTTAATGCTTAGAAGCATGAGGCAACACTATTCACATCAGAGCTGAAGCACAGTACAAGCCGGGTCCACCTCTGCCCCCAACCGTTTTGTGTGTATGGGGGCTGCGTGAAGCAGAAATGAGGCAACATAACAGGTACACAAGTAAAATTATTGTGCGTCACGGAAGTGACACAGAAGCCTTCACTGTACAACCCGCAGCAACATGTAAGCCGTGAGTACAAGTGCACCTCTGGAACACACTTTGGTGGCATTCCCAGTGCTATCTTCAGAGACTGCATAGATAGATTTGTAGTAAAATATATATATATATATATATGCGCGTATGCAACTAAATCCAGTAGAAATAAATTGTTTTCTTTTTTTAAAGGGGAACTGCTATTTTATGACAATCATTCCCATTAATGAAGTCTTAAAGTGGACCTGTAAAGATGGTCAAACACTTTACAACCCTCGCAAGACTTTTGTCTTGCGAGGGTTGTAAACTAATTTAAAAAACGTACGATCTGCCCATCTTGGACAGGCAAGATGACTGCAAACGGGCAGAGTGCGCGTGCGCACACCGGCCCGTTCGGCAGTTGTCAAACAAGCAGGCCACTAACTCACCGAGAATCGTACGATTCCCGGCGGGTTTTCTAGCCTGCTTGTTCGACAGAAGGCGCGCGAACGTACAGTAGAAACGGTTGCACGCCTTCCATACACTTTGCGATTATCGTGGGATTTCCCACGATTCTCGTACGATAATCATACAGGGTATGGGCACCTTTACTGAAGTCATGTTTGGCTCTGCCCACTCCTTGAGCCCTTTGAATCCTGTATGTGCTGTGTCCAGGTTTCAGACCGTCAAGGTGTCAGGGCACAACTAAAAATTGGTGGAAAAAAAATGTCAACACACAGGGGGCAGGGGGTTCTTCACAGTCAGAGCTATTAAGGTCTGGAACTCGCTGCCACAGGAAGTGATCTCGGCTAAGAGTGTGGAATTATTCAAGAAACTGCTGGACAAGTTCCTTGGAGACCATAACATTCAGGGGTACAGGTACGCCTAAGAGCAAAATCCCACATGGACTAATGCACACTGACACACCTGCTCAAACATCAATGCACACACACAATAGGTTGGACTTAATGGACTTATGTCTTTATTCAACCTCAAATACTATGTACTATGTAACTAGGTGGACAGGGGCAACAATGGGGTCCTGTTGTTCCAAACAGAGTGCAAGGAGGAGGCACAGGACACGGAGGGACTCGGGGAGCAAGGAGATGTCTGAAACACAGGGTGCAGATAAGTCTTGAAGGGCACACTCTCCTGGCTGTCTCTACAGTCTCTCTCCTCTATAACCTAAAAAAAATATTGCCGCCTGGCAATAGAGTGTTCGGGTTTCGCTTGTAGAAGAGGTGGCAACCCTATATATAACGCAGCACCAGTAATGCGTTATGGTGCACTGCAACATGTCAGTTACTGAGGTGTGTTGGGGTACTAATAAAAAGGAATGGCATCGCAGCACACCAATGTACAAAGCAAATGCTTTCACATGTTGTAGTATGGCATGCAACATAGTGAACTGATCCTAATGACAGCGCCGCGACTATCCATACTTACCGCTAGTGATGAGCAAAGCATGTTCATCCAATCCCACACAAAACTGCCACTGTCATACACCCCCTTCCCCAGCCCAATCAGTTATGGTGCCCTTTGTGACATGTAGCTGCAGGGATGGGGAATGCCCCAGCCACAACTGATTGGGAGAACTCGGGTGAGAGAGAGTAGGAGCTTGCTGCCTGTATCAATGGGCTTTTCCTTGCTTCAAGCAGGTTTGCATTCTCATCCCAAATCCAACAGATGCCCCCCACCTACCTTAGTCCACTTTATGATGTCTGCAGACACCTGATCTGTCCATATACGGTTGAATCAGTAATATCTGATGTGTAATGTAAATGTGTATATCTGTAAGCATTTATGACCACAGCAGACACCCCCAGCCATTCTTCGGGGTCACTGGATTGGCTGGGTTGGATTTTTCTTTTCAATCAACTCAGTTGATGACATTGATATCCGCTGAACTCGCCTCTTCCCTCTGTACAGTATGCACATTTTATACAATCAGGTTTAAATGACTGTTTAAGGAATCAGAGCCAAAAGTGAAAGTCAACGGAGGTACATTGACTTGAGTTTGCATAGTCCGATGACATCCATTGCATTGCGTTACTTATTTTTTGTTTGGTTTGATTTCTACACTAAGCTATATAAGGTATAGGTTCTGCCTTCCATTGACACTGTGAATGGGATCAGTTCACACCAGTCCATTGCATCGTATTGTGCTAAGCACAAAGAGGGGGATTTATTAAAACAGGAGCAGTTGCCTATGGCAACCAGCTTCTCATTTTTATTTTCAAAGCTTAACCACTTGCTGTCCCCCTAACGCAGCTGCCGGTTATCCCGGGCTCTGCTGCCCCCCCTGCGGGCCCGGGACCGCCACAGCAGCTGTTTCCAGTGAGGAGAGATCAGCATTTCCCCACCACAGAAGCGATCTGTACTACATCACTTCCGCCTTTAGCTGTAATTTCTCTGATTCATATACTAATATCTAGTAGTGCAGATATCCATTTAATGTTATTATTTAACTATTGTTATCGATCGGTGTATGCCGACCTCATATATGGGAGAGTTATCCCCTATGTTAGTGAAATAAATGAACTTTGCACAATATTCTAATTATTCGAGTTTCACCTGTATATGGTATTAGGAATTTATGTCCAATTAAGTTAGTCACTTTAAGGGGTTAACTACTTAGGCATCACGTAGTTAGCATGAGATGGGCGGTACTCAGCAGTTATAAAGATTTGGAAGAATAAGAAACTTCTTCTATGATTAGGCCCAGGTAGTGAAACGTGAGAGTTATACTATGGTGGTGTACACCTTGTATTTTCAACTTTGCATGGAATTTACAACAATAAAGTTGGATTTTTTTATGGACCTCGGTTTTCGGGCGGCTGATAGGAGAGATACTGCAACACTGATCGTTACAGCCTTGAGTCCCGGATGCATGATGGGATTTGTTGCCCATCATGCCACAGTTGCCCACCCAAGTTACAGGCTCACTGGATTTCTGGCAGGATCAGCAGGTATTTGTATGTACTTGCCATGTTTTTGAGGAGACAAAACAAGGGTAAACATGCATGTTTCTGAGGTGTGAATGTTTGGTTTTTATTTCTCCCATACATTTTAAAGTAAGTGTGTGTCAATCATTACATATGTAGATCTGGAGTCAGATCAAAGAATGTTTCTGTTCATTATAAAGACACCTTTGTGTTGTTTTCAAAGCAGAGAATGTGATTTTCTCTAGACATTGTCTGGTGGCGAATATTCCAGGTCCATTTGTGTTAAAGGAGAACTCTGGGGTAAGTATTTTTCCCGATAGCTCTAAGGGTCACGGAAGGACATATACTAGCGTCCTCCCGTGACCCAAAGCCCAGTATTGGAGTCCAAGGACCTGTAGCACTCCTTACCAGAACTCCCAAGTGTTAGTTGAGGGTGCTCGCAGTGACCGCGGATGGCGCCGCATTCAGCATAAGTATAGGAACGTCACCAGCACGGCAAAGACTTGAATGTCAGTGAAAATCCATTTATTGATGTCAGTCAATACTCAAAGTGTCATCAAGCGCTTTAGAGGGCCGCGCAGGGTCCCCTTCATCAGGCTCATCAGACTCTGACTGACCTCAATAAATGGATTTTCACTGACATTTAAGTCTTTGTCGTGCTGGTGACGTTCCTATACTTACCAAAGCTCAGTATATCGCATGGCTACAGCTCGCAGTATACCGAGACCGCCACAGCCGGGACGGATCCCGACATTACTGTCGAGATCCACCCAGCTGCGTGAGAGCTGGCTCTGCCTATCTAGAGGCAGAGCCAGCTGTACCCACCCCTTCCCAGTCTGTTCCTACACTCAGCACTGGAGCATCAGGGAGGGGAGAATCCCTGCAGGGAGATGATCGAGAAGTGAGCGAGCGACAGTATGCGTTCGCTCACTTCCCGATCTATTGAGCCGACGTGTGACAGTCTCACGATCTATTGAGCCGACGTGTGACAGTCTCATTGTCACACGTCGGCTAGAACTATGAGGTTGAGTGAAAATCACTCCTCATAGTTCTCTTTTATATGGCAGTAATCTATTCTCCACCAGAGAATCTTTAAAGAAATTCACATTCACTGCTTTATAAACAGAACCCCAAGTTTGCTGGTGCACGTGACTCTCCTCTGTATGTATTATTGTCCAAAGAATCGATTGAAATGTAGCATTTCTGCCTTACGATTTGTGTCCTTAGCAGTTGGAAGCAGATCACAGACGATCTGACCAACCTTGCAGCTAGCTTAAAGTGACAGTTCACACTCCCCTTAATATCTGTTTGAACTTTCCCAAACTGGAGATGAATGGTACTTTAAAATCCTCAAGAAAGCTTCCAGAGCACTGAAAATGCTCTGTAAAATCTTGCTGTAAAGCCCACTACAAGGCCTGCAGAATCTTCTTTCAGTAACAGTGACATCCTAGTCCCCCCCCGTGTGTGCTGTGGTTCTTCCAGCTAACCCCCATACTACTGTGTTTTGTAATACCCAGGGAATGGCAGGAGAATCCACATCAGCACGGGGGGGGGGCAGCAGGAGAAATATTATTTGATTATTATTATTTAGATTATTTGAAAGGACACAAGCTGCTGCCCTTTCACTAAAAATACAAATTTATCCCGAAACTGAAAAATGTCAATATGTGGAGTTTCCTTTTTCTGTTTCCGGCAGTGAAATGACATTTTTGTGTATCTATACTCTCCTGCACATCCAAATTCTTCCCAACCATGTCCGTTCGGAAACAGGCATATTTAGCTAGTCTTTATATCACCCTCAGTTCTTGCGTATGCCCAGAATTACCACTCCTTAAAGTGTATTACCACTTTTGCAGCCAAATTGGGATAATACTGATTTTATATGTGTCACATGTTCTCAAATTACAATCCCAAAAGTGCAGCTTACCTTTTTATTAGATGCTCTTTCTGCTAACTCCAGGACTGAAACTGGGTTGGGAGGGAGTTTTGTTTCAAATAATTAACCCTGTCTGCACTGTGCTGGCAGATTTTACAATCACTTGTAAACTAGATGAGCAGGACTGTGAATCCTAACAAAGGGTTAAAAGCCTGAGGACAATGTATGATAAGGAGGGGGAGTTCAGTCTGCCCCTAGTCTTTCTATTAGGACAGTCAGAGTTTCCTATAACTGAAAAGCTTGCAAAGGCCTGCTACACAGTTAAAAAGTAAATATATATTTTTAAATATTTTTTTTTGGTATGCTGTGTAAAAATGGGGACACAAACATTAAGCGGGGTGCAGGGGGGGTTCTCAATTTTGGCTGCAAAAGTGAAAAATACACTTAGGCCCCATTCACACTGAGCGACATGAAAGTCACGCGACTTTGAGCGCTATTGCGCGACGTGTCGCGCGACTTCTTCCTATTGGGCTGTATGCAATGAAGAGCAATATCGCTCAAAATCGCTCTAAAAAAGGGTCATGTAGGAGCGACGAGCTACAAGTGATATTGAGCGACGAGATGTGAACAGCTTGCACTGTGCTGGCAGATTTTACAATCACTTGTAAACTAGATGAGCAGGACTGTGAATCCTAACAAAGGGTTAAAAGCCTGAGGACAATGTATGATAAGGAGGGGGAGTTCAGTCTGCCCCTAGTCTTTCTATTAGGACAGTCAGAGTTTCCTATAACTGAAAAGCTTGCAAAGGCCTGCTACACAGTTAAAAAGTAAATATATATTTTTAAATATTTTTTTTTGGTATGCTGTGTAAAAATGGGGACACAAACATTAAGCGGGGTGCAGGGGGGGTTCTCAATTTTGGCTGCAAAAGTGAAAAATACACTTAGGCCCCATTCACACTGAGCGACATGAAAGTCACGCGACTTTGAGCGCTATTGCGCGACGTGTCGCGCGACTTCTTCCTATTGGGCTGTATGCAATGAAGAGCAATATCGCTCAAAATCGCTCTAAAAAAGGGTCATGTAGGAGCGACGAGCTACAAGTGATATTGAGCGACGAGATGTGAACAGCTACATTGAAATGTATTGGTGAAGCTACATAGAGCGATGTAGCGCGGAAATATGAGCGATATCGCTGCAAAAATCGCTCCATAAATCGCTCAGTGTGAATGGGGCCTAAAGGATAACAATTTTTATATAAAAAATGTACAAAGAGGGCTTTTATGTCAGGCAAAGCTGGTTTTAGCAACAGCTATCCATAAAGATACATACAGCACACACTTTGAAAAACAAATCTTTATTTATAAATGCTGAAAACAAAGGGCTTTCATTTAATGACAACATTGGTATATATTTTACATATGAGTTTCTTCTACCACAATACAGTGTTTGGCACCATTTAATGATGTATAAACTATAACAAAAAATACAGCCAATGTACAGTACATAATTTCAGCATCTAAATTAGGAATGATAAAGGAAATAAAATGTTTTACTCACTTAGATATGAAAGTAAACATGGAGTTCAATGACAATGACATCTAAATAATAGCAAATGTTTACTGGGGCTTATCCCTTAATTCATGAGCATAGTTAAGACATATTGCTGCTTTCATACTGTAAAGCCACAGGCAGAAGAGGTTAAGACATAAAATAGCATATCCATATATATACCTGCCTGGGCTGTGATATTTGGTACATTCTGTTTCCCTGAAGTTAGCACAATGGTAAATTGCTTTTTTTTTTGTAGCTTGTACAAATTAAGACATCTCTGCATAAATGTATTCATAAAACCGATGGAAATCACCCAATACCTTGTATTACAGAACAAGCCCTTTTGCTGGAGGAGTGCTTTTCATAACGTCGGCATGAGGTTTGAGAATTAGGAACAAAATCCAGCACTTAAGTGTAAAAAAAATATATATTATATACACTTGTCACTTCATGTCACCATTTAACATGTCCCTAGGTCTGAAACATACACAAAACCGGTGCAAATACCCATAAAGATCAAGTTTCATCTTTTACATAAAGGAGTATAAGTGGCTTCCTACAGGAACCAGCTGTAGTTTTTTTTGTTTTTTACTAAAGGAGTCCCTTAAAATGTAATTCAGTCTAAAGCTGGCCACAGAGATAAATCAGTTTTGGGATGTGAGCAAATGGGATAACAATAGGCCAGGATGGCATAACTCAAACACTTATTTTGGAAGCTGCGCCTTACTTAATTCACTAATATCTATTAGAGAACACTCTATAAAAGGAACCTGGCTCAGCTGGGCTGCCCTGCATTAACAAAGGAGCCAAAAACCCAACAACATTTGTCTCTTAATTGTGTCTGCAGATGTCACAATTTCCCTACAGAGGACCCAGCTGTTTGCGGATACTGATAAAATTGGAGGTATCAATTGATGGCGTCTACTGGGCACCACCAGGCTTTCCCACACTGTACCCTATTTGATACTACAACTGAATGCTTCCTTCTTAAAGTGCTTTTACCTTGGGATTTTTTATTACAAACAATTCAACCTCTGATCTAAAACTGTATGCCACTTTCACCTGATGGAGGGAATTAGACTTCAGTGCATATTGTACCCTATCAGCTGGCTAGCTCTGACACACAATGACGACATTACACAATACATGTTGAGTGCAGGATCTACATTTCTTTCAACTTTTCATACCCATGTTATCTGTTCTGATTCATCCATGCCCTACATACCCATGTGCGATTGTCATGCAAGGTGTGTAAATGTAGGCAGTTTATGACAAACTATGTATGGGTACCTTTAGCAAATAGAAAGGTATCTTTTTTATTTATGCAAATAGCCATAATCTGTCAGGTATCATGGGCAGTTATAGCATGCCTATAAAGTTCTGATTCAATGAAGGCATCTGTCTGGATTACTATAGAAGCTCATTTTGGCTCAATTTGTTCTCAGGTCACCAATTTATCATTTGAATAGCAGTGAGATGGACTACTATTCAATAGCTTGGAATGAAGCTTCATTTATTATATAATCAATTATACTTTTAGACAGTTGTAAATGAAAAAAACAGAACACTGTATTAAAGTTCCTTGCAACCAAGGCATTCCCTTTTTAAGGTCCAGCAGACGTCTGTGTTCATACATCTCCTTTGATGACATCTCTTTAGGCTGTTTTTTTTGAACAGAGATTTTTGGATGAGGGCTATTTCTAATCATTCCATAAGCAGACATGAAATTGCAAATATCCAAAATATGGCTTTTCAGTTCATTGTCTAAAGAGTTTAAACTAGGTTTAATAAAAAGAAGCGAGGTTTGTCTAATATAGTGAAAAGAATGATCAGATAATGGTTTGCAATTTTCCAGTATCTTCCCTTCTTCCCAGCCAGGTCTGAGAATCCGATGCTCAAACAGAGCAGATTTTTCAGCAATAGGTCACACTCTTCAAATAATAAATACAGCTTACACGTGGTCCCCTTCCACTCTTCGCTTACGGACTGTAAACAGAAAAAAAAAAAGCTGCATGAATCGAAATTCTTAAAGTGTCTAATTAGCATCTTTAAACGCCATTGTAGTGCAAATACAACTTTCCATAACTCTATACATTAACCGTATGGCCCCCCCTTCCTGAACTTCCCTCATACTGTGGGGTTTTTTTTACATTACTTGTAACAATAAGTCCAAAATTCTTCAAATTGATGAAGATACATCTGCCGGTGTAATGAGACAGATGGTTAATCTAGTTTATCTACCTGGCCTCCTGTAAACACTCATTCAGTGGGTACAGCAGATGTTACAACCCTTTCCTTCCACACACGTGTAGTATTTTAAATCACTGACATTAGTAATGCACCACAAATCACATGTGGTAGTAACATACATGACAATTCACGTACAAAACGGTGGCTCATGCTATTAGTATAAAAATATACATACAACAGACCTTAAAAGAAACACCTCTAATTGTATATGACCAGATGAATGCAGCTAACACAATCATCTGACCTCAAGGACACAAATTCTGGATAATTAAACCAGGTTCTTAAAAAGCAGACATGCAAAGCTTAACACGATTTAGGCAGGACAATGGACAGAGATGTTGCATTTGGCAGCACTATAACCTGTGTCCCTGCAGAGTCAAGTTTGAAGAAATGCCAGTAGATGTGAAGTGACAAGAACTCGTAAACTCCACACTGAGAAATGTAACACATTGGAAAGAAAAGATATCAGCAGAAAAGACTTCACAAACAGCTGGAATAAGACATGTCACTCCCTACCCCTAATAAAAGTTAGAATAATGAATACAGAATATCATTTTGAATATCTTTTCTGTATAGAGACATCTGAATTTTGATTTAATATTAAAATTACACTACACACAGGAGTTAAATCTTAAAAATGCTATTTACAAATTAGCAAACAACCATTAACAAAAATGTAGCAATCTCATGTTTAGTTTAATAATTTGTATTGAGATTGTAGTCCATTATGGGAGTGAGCTTGGAGCGGTGACTACTTTACAACACACACAGGGGCCATGGAGGAACATAAGTAGCCCCCCTCCAGAAGGAAGGACAGTGTCAGCACCAATTCAGAGATGGTTTGAGGATCTACAGCCGAGGGATACACACAGAAGATACATTTGTGTGAATAGTTGGGGTACTTGAATGCATTTTTAAGATTCAACTCCTGAGTTTAGTGTCACTGCAAAACTGCAGCTGTAGATTAAACAAGACGCACTCGATGGTTAACAGATGCTTGGTATCATACATATATATAGAAAATGTTGTTTAGCCATCCACACTACTTGACTAAGGACCTGTGTCAATGGCGTGAGCTTGAGACACTTCTGAAATCATTCAGAATTCACTGACAGCTGCATATGACCTCCTTCCAACGTGCTTCAAGAGCGGTTTGAAATCCCCTCTTGAAGCACGTTTGGAGAAGAGCCGGACTCTTTCCTAACTCGAAGCTCTCTCTGTTCCATAAAACAGTAAGAACTCCATGGGGCTCTGGCAGCTCCATGTTGTGACACTTATGTATGGCTACAATTTGCGTAGCGCAGTGTAACAGAGAACAGATAGCAATAAATGGTCTCCATTATAAGGGAGCCCCTTCCGTTACTCAGCCTCACAGATGTATACTGTCAATCCCTACAAGATGATTAAGTAGTGCACAACCAGCATGTGTATCTTATTAAAGGGGTTCACAGAATGCTACCGATATAATTAGAGACATACTAAATTCAAGGGTAGATTAACAGTATTACACTAAGGATCAGAAGAGGTCTTCAAAATGACACTTCTATACAATCTACATCCAGGTATGTGCTAATGGAAAATAGTACGGCAGCGCTGAATACTGAAAAATGGCCTGGCCAGGAAGGGGGTGAAACACTATGGCCTTCAAGTGGTTAAGATGCAGAGTTATTTTAAAGGAGAACTATGAGGTGAGTGATTTACACTCATTCTCATAGTGAGAGCCGACGCGTGAAATGAAACTGTCACAGGTCGGCTCTATAGATCAGGAAGTGAACATATACCGTCGCTCGCTCACTTCCCGATCATCTCCCTGCAGAGTACGGTGACTGTCAGCCACCACTCCCCATAAGGATTCTCCCCCCTCCCCTCTCCGATCCTCCAGTGCTGACTGGAGGAACGGTCAGGAAAGGGGTGGGCACAGCTGGTTCGGCCTCTAGATAGGCAGAGCCCACTGTCAACCAGCCAGCTGGGTGGATCTCATCAGTAATGTCAGGATCCGTCCTGGCTGTAGCTCTCTCAGTATAAAGTGGGCAATAGCCCGCTATATACTGAGCTTTGGGTTAGAGGAGGAAGTTAGTATATGTCCCCCCGTGACCCTAAAGAGAACTGTGGGATAAAAAGGTTACCGGACAATTCTCTTAACAACTATTTGTCAAGCCATTTAAGGCCAAATAAATGTTGGCTTTTCAGTGCTCCATCAATGTAACGGTTAGTAATCTGGTTATGCTGCAAGACATCTACATGATTATTACAATGTTTTTTCCCCACGGTAAATAGCTCTTTCTATATGTATTGCAATTTGTAATATCCAATAGCAGGCTGGCTATTGCTCTCCATTGTTTACATTCTGCTGCTGACTGCAGAATCTAGCCACTGGCCGGCAGCAAGATGAAAACAAAGAATTTTGTAGGCAACTAAATACATTTAGTTGCTAACCAAGTTTATTATTGTGCACCAAGCAACTGACAGTTTTTTAGTGTGTATCAACCCACCAGCAAAAAAAATGTTTTCCCTGGTTAATGGGGTGTTTTTTTGTAATGGTAAGAGTCCAATGTGATTTCAAATATCATGTAATACTGTATCGTGCCCACTAGATGGAGTAGAGGGACAAAGGAAACAAATACTTCTTTCCTTTGCTTATCAGCGCCATCTAGGAGGCATAATACAGTATTTTACATATAGTACTTTTAAAATTGGAAAGAAAACGTACTAAAAAAGGTTTCTTTTGGGATCCATTCGCACAGAACATTCATGGAGTTTCACAGGGCAAATGGCCCTGCAAACTGTTTATTAATACATCCCTAAGCATCTACATATTTTAATAAACTGTGAAAATATTTATCAACAGCCACAATAATGTGTAAGATATCTTGCCTTACCGATATCATTATTCTTAGTTATGGCAGCAGCTGCCCTTGACCGTGGACCTTGCTGTGTGAAGTGATAACCAAATTTAAGAATTGATATATTGTCCTCCAGCAGTTGCGCAATCTTCATCTCCACCTCAGTTCCCAGCTGTTGTCTCTGTTGGACAAAATGGAATTAAAAAGGACCAGGATTGCCAAGATAAAATAAACATTTATATTAATAATTTTACCTTTTGGAGATTGTTGTACTCCTTAAGAATCAATGCAAATACCCATTCCATAAAAATAAATCACCTAACCATTTAAAGTCACATGTCCCTTTAAGAAAAAGTATCGGTAATTGGTATCGGCAAGTACACGAGGGGATGTACTTGTACTTGGGCCTGAAAAAGTGGCATCGGGACATCCCTAATTTGCACTATATTTTATTTGTGAAAACAAACACGCAGTCCGGAATATGACGTAAAACTGTTATACTAGTGTGCAGGGCCGTGTTCAAGTTACAATACCTGATTATTATGGCTCACCTTAAAGTGATAATAAACCTTTGGGTTTCTTTTTATGATAAGGAGGCCCACACATACATGACTTTGGTGTGTTTCTTTAACACACTCACTTGGGTGTTAAACCCCCTTCCTGGCCAGGCCATTTTTCAGTATTTGGCGCTGCAGTACTTTGACTGACATTTATTCCGTCATGCAACGCTGTACTGAAATGAATTTTATAACATTTTTGGTGGTATTTATTCACCACTGGGATTTTTTTTTTACTATAGTAAGGAAAAATGACCATAACATTTTAAAAGAAAACAGTTTCCCGTATATTAAATTATGAAACATTTATGATTACCCAATTTTTTGGTAAAATATAAAAGGCGGGGTCACGTCGAGTAAATAGACACCAAACTTGTCAAGCCCAAAATTGCGCGTACTGCGATAACCTCAAAAAACTACAATACCCAAAATTGGCAATAGGCGACGCTTTAAAAGCTTTTACTGCTCATCAGTTTAATGTTAAGTTATTGATGGCCCTAAAAAGCGATGTGTGACATGTGTTTGCGCAATTGTTGTTTTCGCATGCTGGCGCACACGACGTATATTTAGGTTTATATATGCGTATACGTGGGGGACTTAAATATTTTGATTTTTTTTTCTTCTTACATTTCTTTATATGTGACTTTTTTTACACTTAATGTTATTGCTATCACAAAGGGGACTAACAATCCCCTATATGATAGCAGAAGCACATTGACGGGTCCCCTTTTATGGAGACATTAGGGGTCTCTAAGACCCGTCACCTGGGGACCCCAAAGTGATGTAATATGCATCACTTCCGCATTCAGACGTCGGAGAGAGATCAGCAAGGAGGAAGATGCTGATCTTCCTCCTGACAACCACCCGAGCCACAGATGGGGCAGCGGAGCCTAGGATTGAAGGTGAGGGTGCAGGAGGGGGGTGCGCAGGACAGCACATACAAGCGATCGGACGGCTATAGAGCCGCCGATCGCTTGTATGTGTAACAGCCGGTAACGGCTGTTTCCATTCAACTGTTTTCAACTGGGAGCTTACAGTCCGTCCGCTTTCTTTACAACAGGCAGACGGCAAGTGGTTAAGTTGCTTTTCTTGCATACCCTTCAGTTGATCCACAAACAACTCTTCCCCCTGCCTGTTGCTCCCATGATGGACTAGAACTTAAACATAAATTATCTAACTAAACATAAGATTTTTGTCCATCACCAGAGCAAGCTTGGAGCGGTGACTACTTTACAACACACACAGGAAGTATGGGGAAGAAAAGTAGCCCCCCCTCCAGAAGGAAGGACAGTGTCACCTTGCACTCAGAGATGATTTGAGGATCTACAGCCGAGTGATGCACAAGTGGGATACATTTTTATTAATCATTAGGGTACTTGAATGCATTTTTACGAAATTTACTGAATTTCGAGTCACTTTAAAGCTGAACTCCAGGCAAACTGCTAACTACACAGACAAAATACATATAAGGGAGCTGTTTTACCCACCAAAGGATTTGTATTTTTGTTAATATAGTCCTGAGATTTACAGAGCTCTTCCCCAAATCACAGACCTGACGCCACTTAACCACTACCCGTGGACTGGCCACTATATATACACACACACACACACACACACACATACAGTATATACACACAAAGCCAGAACGCTGTTCCATTGCTCCGGGAGGGCGTACCCATGTGTCCTTCAATAAAAATGCCTGTGTGCGTGCAGCTGCTGCTCCCACTGTCATTAGACAGTGCAGAGCAGCGGCTTCAGACACAGAGCCAAACGGCCTTATGAGGTCAACCTTTGGCTCTATCATCCTACCAGAATGTACCTTATATGACATTTGCATGCAGCACACGCCTGACAGGCTCCTAGTCATGCCCCACCTTCTCCCAGTCTGTGGTATATGGAAATTCAAAACGATGATACCAAGTGAAATTCTGGTACTCCACTTAAATTTAACAAAATGCTTTAAAGCTATTAATTATTGAAGTGACATACCAAATGAACCAAAGTTTGTAATGTACAGCATACAAAACATTTGAGTGGTCTAGAAGTTCTTACTGTGGTTAGCATTAGCCTGACCACCGAGGCCAAAGACTGAATATTCATCACATACTGAATAGGACCCACTCATGCTTGCCATAGTAGCTTCAGTGAAACCAAACTACAAAACAGATACCGTTAATGTAGTGTTCTTTTCAGGCAAATCTTTGAAGGGTTTTGCCATGATTGGGGGCTTCTCCACAATGACTTATGCCATTTCCTGATGGCACTGTAAGTAAAGTATGTTTAAGCCTATCTATACTGATGAAGTAATGTGGGAACTGGTGGTAGATGTAAACCTGCTATGCATAATGCTATATCTGGCTCATCTCTGTGAGCCCCACTGCAACTGTCCAACACTTTACATATCTGAGCACATATTATAGATGTGTTTGGGGAACACCAGAAGACCCCAAAGCTACTTAAAAGGAGAACTATGGGGTTAGGGCTTTTCCCCATAGTTCTCCTTAGGGTAACGGGAGGACGCAAACTAGCGTCCTCCCGTCACCCAAAGCTCAGTATACCGCGAGCTGCAGCTCATGGTATACTGAGACGCCGCAGCTGAAACGGATCCCGACAACTATGTCTGGATCCACCCAGCTGCGTGAGTGACAGCTGGCCCTGCCTATCTAGAGGCAGAGCCAGCTGTGCCCGCCCCCTCCCGTGTCCGTTCCGCAAGTCAGTGCTGGAGGATCGGACAGGGGAGGGGGGAATCCAGTCCCTCCCCTGTCACGGCTCTCTGCAGTGACAGGATCGAGAAATGAGCGAGAGCCGGTATGTGTTCGCTCACCTCCCAATCTACTGAGCCGACCTGTGACAGTCTCATTGTCACAGGTGGGCTAGAACTATGAGGTGAGTGAAAAGCACCCGCCTCATAATTCTCCTTTAAACCTTATGCTGCATTCAACACTGAAATATACCAAGAAAACCTTACCTGATTGTCAATTTTAATTTCTCGTAAAGTTTCATTCTCTTTTAGTGCCTCTATCAAAGCCAAGATGCCTGTTCCAGTGACAAAATTGGATTCAATATTTAAACTCTTCAGACTTTGGTTAACCTTTAACATGTCAGCAAACGCCTTTAGGACAAAAAAAATAAAATAATTATACATCCACCTTAAGAGATGCTGCTTTAAAGTAATAGCGAAACAATTAGCTGGTTTGCTAGTGAGTCTGTGCCCACTGGCAGCTATACCATGCTAAGGAGTGACCACACACAAAGCAGGTCTTTTTGTAATCTTGTACATGTTTATGGTAGTTCGAGCTACAGACATCCTAAAGGGTAAACTGGTCATTTTAGAATAATACTATTGTTTTTTAATGAAATTTGTGCCAACTATATAAATATGTATTAAAGCAAATACAAGTCCAAACATTAAAACGTAGCCATGTACAGGAAAAGTCATGTAATAAATAACTGTAAATAAGCCAATATAGTGAAAATCCGCTATAACTTTGTAGAGACAATATAGCCTAATTTTAATTAGGCCTCATTCACACACAACGCAAGCAAAATTGTATATTGCGTATATACACGTCTATGCGCGTATATGCGTGCGTCTATGCGTGCACTATTTGCATTCCCAGAATGCATCATTCCTAATGGAAATTTTAATGAACTGTACGCAAAAATACGCTGCCCGGACACATCTCGGTTCCATTCTGTTTTTGCGCATATATACGCTACGCAAATAAACGGCTCCATGCGCGGCTATGTGTATGGAGCCATTTATGTGCATATGTTGCATATGGTACAATACGCACGTACTCGCGTATATGCGCGACAGTGTGAATGAGGCCTTAAAGCACCCCTCCTTTTCTATGCCGTATACCTGCTAAATTAAGATCACATTAATGGGTTCAGAATATAACAGAAATCCATTTCATAATATTTACCACTGCAACAGGATCATTGCTTCTTGTAGCTGCAATACTGAATAGTTTTACATGTGTGTTCCTTTCCAAAGCCCTCGCAAATTCCTTTAAGGTGGGAATTGGGATATTCTGAAAAGAAAAAAAAAAAAGTAGGATGTAATATCCAGATAATCATAATATTTATCTGTTGCAGATTAATTTGCAAATGCATTATAAGCTACACTAGAACACAGGTTAGTGTAGCTTATATTACATTAACCCTTCAAACAGGGAAATGTTTAACATTTCGCTATTTAACTGGGAAAATGATGCAGCATTTCCCCAGTTAAATAGAAAACAAAATACTGTATTCAGATAACTGTAAGCAGTTCATTAATTCCTTTTTTTTTTTTAAAAACCATACAGACCAAGGTGTTGAGTAAGCATGATATTAAATATATTTGTTGGTGTCATGGAATAAACAATAACACTGACATGAGTATTTATACAAAATTATATATTTCATTCATGTGATTTAAATCTTCATCAATAGTTGCTGCAACTGCTCAAGCACCCTTATACGTTTATCCCAAACCCTTTAAGCTTTGCTGGTCGCCTTGGACAGTTTTCAAAACCATTTTCACTCAATATGTTCCCCTGTCTGATTATAAGCACTGGCAGCATTTTTCTTCCTCCTTTCTGTTACCCTGACAATGTATGCTTGGCAGAGATGAGCATTTACATTTATGCATCTTTTTACCTACGGTCAGTCAGTTAATGCCTACTTTGCAGTTTTCGGCTATCTGGCTGTCCTGTGTTTTCTATTTTTGCCCCCAACCAACTTATACTCGCCTTAACAGTGCTCCCCATTCTGCTGCTTCCTAGTCACCATTTTGGTTAATTTTAGGAACAGATACAAGTTAGGCAGACCTGGAAGAATCTTAGTTCATGTTGTTGAAAAAGGTATGGAATTTATATTGCCGATTTAAAAGGAGAACTATGAGGTGAGAGATTTCCACTCATCCTCAAAGTTAGAGCCGACCTGTGACAAAGAAGCTGTCTTCTATCACTTCTATCTTCTATCAGATCAATCACTTCTATTGATCAAGAAGTGAGCAGAAACATGCAACCGAGCCGCTCACTTCCCGATCATCTTCCTGCAGTGAGCGGCGATGGTCAGTCACCACTCCCCGCAGGGATTCCTCCCAGCGCTGAGTGGAGGAACGAACACGAGAAGGGGCGGGCAGAGCCAGCTGTCACTCACGCAGCTGAATGGATCACAACAGTATTGTCGGAATCCGCCCGCCTGCAGCATTCCTAGTATTGCCCGCGATATACTGAGCTTTGGGTCGCGGGAGGAGGTTAGTATATGTCCTCCCGTCACCCTAAAGAGAACTACGGTATAAAAAGGTTACCCCCATAGTTCTCTTTTAATAAGTGTGCTGGGCTCATTACAATATTCATTTTTAAAACAAAGGTGCATTTGTCTTTTTACAGTGCTTCCTAACAATCTTAACAGTGCGCCCACAATACTACCTTTATGTTATTCAGGTTAACTTCAGTTAATCGTGGATCGTTGTTTTTGATTCTTTTTAAACTCTCTTCCACATTGGTGGGATTTGGAGGTTCATCAGAGACGGGCATTAGTTGTTCTGCTTTCACCACATCTAAACAAAAAAAAAAAAATTGTAAATACACAAAATATATAAACAAGAACAATCAGAGTAGGTAAGAGATACGCAGTTTGTCTGTATATGGTGAAGAGTAGCCTGGCCATAATAGGAGAGAGGTTTGAAGCAGAACTATGGGCAGAATTTCTCTCAACCCTTGCACTGCAAAGGTTAAGTGGTCCTTTTTATCTAGGTGTTAAAAAAACCAAAAACGTTTTACTCACCCGATCCACGGAGCCAGCTTGCTCTTACACTGGTCCTTCCAGCCTCTCTCCCCCTCTGCTGCAGCAGTCTAAGGTCCTGTAAATCATCACGTTCCATACAGAGAGTGTATAGACATGAGAACACTGAGTAACATTCCAATGCTGCAGCGTAGGAGCAGGAAGGCTTAAGTGACCGGAGAAGCAGGCAGCCAGCTCCACGGCTCAGGTGAGTATAACTTTTTTTAGCACTTAGACAAAACAAGCAGTTAACCCTTGCAGTACAGGGGTAGCCCCGCTGCACTCCCACTCTAGCTCCTAGAATTTACTACTAGAATGTTCTGTAGAATAACTGGACGATTGACATAGCATTACTCATTCATAAGGAAGCAAACTGTGTGCTATTGCATTCTCCTAGCCTAACAAGTCTACTTCCCAATAAATACATGCTGCAGTCAGAGACTATACAGTAACTATTTCACCAACCCTTCCTAGTTTTGCATTGCTGACTGCAAAAATGACTGACTTCACAAGAACTGGGTTTGCATCTCAGTGGGCGCAACCAAAAGTTACTCTTTGGTATCACAGGATTTTAGAGTAAATTTGAAATTGTGGAATTATCAGGGAATGAACAAGACTCAGAAGATACCCTGCTCATAGAACCTGGAAAAGTGTATTGGCCAGATTGATTGAGGTACTGCTTCCCCAAAATAAGAACAGCACTGGGGTGTTTGCCAGGTGCAGTGTATAGGCATACATGCTGCGCATCCATTAGACATTGTATAAGATGAAGGATCTCATGACAACTGTGCCTATGGCTGGTTGCAGTTTTATTTTTAAATCGGTACATGTACACAAACTTGTACTACTTACTTGGAAATCCTTGACTATCATAACCATTGCTTGTGTTATTTGGCAGCAGATTGTGCATTCCAAGGATTGCTAGAAATATATAGAAACAAATACGTATTTATAATCCACATCACCAATTTCCCATAAATGTGTCTTACTCACACGTGCTTACCAATTCTTACTCTATACATTAAGTTCTTTGGCCTGTAACAATCAATAATTTTAATCATTTCATATCAAGCCCATATATGTATTGCTGCTTGTATTTTACATACATAGAATTAAAGTGGACCATGTAGGAAAATATAAGGTCTGCTTTACTTACAGCCTCCCACCCTCTGAATAATAAAAATAATTTGTTTTTAATCAAAACTGCCAAAATTAAAGCCATTTGAGGATGAAAAAAAAATACCTACCATGGACCCAGATAAGACCCACTTCCTGGGGATGCTGGGGTCTCATCACTGCTCTCCTGGAAAAGCTGCATGCTTGAAAGCCTACAATAAAATGCTCCTGCATTGTGCTGGGGAACATTCTTAACCGGTCATTTAGCTTCTAGCTTTCCCAAAAGGCTGCAGTCATGCCACAGGCACCTCCAGGACGTGGGGGTTAGCAAAGCGGACCTTGTATTTTCATGAAAGGTCCATTTTAGGGCTCGTTCACACCACTTCAGTTGAGTTGAATTGATCTGCATAGATCAACTCAGGCTCAAAACCAGGGTTCATAGAAAACAATTGTTTTCTATATGTCCTGTTGACACTACAAAGCTGCCTTCAGGTGGTTCCAGTGAATTGCGTAAAAATGCAGACATGCCTTTTTTTTGCATTGCACCTCATGTCCCTGAACAGCTGTGATGCATAGAAATTAATGAAATAGCACTTTTTGACATTTCAATAAAGTTTTTTTAAAAGAAGGAAAAATGGTAAACCGCGCCTTGCAATGTAACAACACAAGGGACCTTCCCTTACTGCATCTACACAGCTGACACCAGCCTGCACTTGTTTTAGCATGTGGGCTGGTGTGAAGGAGCCCTTAAAGTGTATTTCCACTTTTGCAGCCAAATTGGCATAACATTTATATTTGTTACATGTTCCCATTTAACCACTTGCTGACTGGGGTGTTTACACCCCCTTCCTGTCCAGGCCATTTTTCAGTATTCAGCGCTGCGGTACTTTGACATTTATTCCGTCATGCAATGCTGTACTGAAATGAATTTTATTCCATTTTTTGGGGACAGATAGAGCTTTCTTTTGGTAGTATTTAATCACCACTGGGGCTTTTATTTTTTACTATATAATGAAAAAAGTACCGAAAATTTGGGGGGAAAAAACGGTTTTCCCTACGTTGTTATAACACAGTTATTATTACCCAAATTTTTGGCAAAATATAAAAGTCGGGGTCACGTCGGGTAAATAGACACCAAACATGTTAAGCTTTAAAATTGCGTGTGTCCGCGAACTCGCAAAAACTACCATACCCAAAATTGGCCATAGGCGACACTTACAAAGCTTTTACCGCTCATCAGGTTAGTGTTACCAGTGACTGATGGCCCTAGAATTATTGCTCTCACTGCGACGTTCGCGGCGATACATAACATGTGCGGCGTAATGGACGCCCGAACGCTTGTGTGTAAACAGCCATCGCCGGGTGTTTACATTGCAGGCTGATTTCCCGCGGGGCGGGATGGGGCGTTTAAAAACGCACAGTCGCATTCAAGAAGCCGCTGTCCGGCTGTTTAAATACAACGACCGGACAGCAGGTGGTTAAATAGCATTAGCTATAATTTAAAAAAAAAACCTTCTTGCAGTTTAAATTGCTTTTACTTGGGTTAGGGTGTCTTGGCTTCTTAAAATTTCTTCTTTTTGCTCCTTCTTTTGTAATGTTAGGAGGGGTTGTGAGGGGTGGGGGACTTCTCTATTGTATGTTAAAGGAAACACAAAACACAACACCTTCAATTTCAGTCCTAAGTTTTTTTGTTTTTTTTAAGGACAGATCAAAGTAAAGGTGCTTTAAAAATCCTGGAATCAGCCATGTTGCCTGCTGCAACAAAACATCTAAAAAGGCAAGAAATATTTTTTTTTTATTCATTTTCCGTATGCTGTGTGAATAGATACACAAACATATAGGTAGATTTTCTTAAAGGAGAACTATAGGGTCAGTGTTTTTCCCCATAGTTCTCCTAAGGGTCACGGGAGGACATAAACTAGCGTCCTCCCGTCACCCAAAGCTCAGTATATCGCAAGCTACAGCTCGCGGTATACTGAGACCGCCGCAGCCGGGACGGATCCCGACATTACTGTCGAGATCCACCAAACTGCCTAAGTGACAGCTGGCTCTGCCTATCTAGAGGCAGAGACAGCTGCACCCGCCCCCTACCCAGTCCGTGCCGCCAGTCAGCGCTGGAGGATTGGAGCGGGGAAATCCCTGCAGGGAGCCGTGAGAGACCGTCACCGTTTCATTGTCACACATCGGCTCGAACTATGAGGTTGAGCCGATGTGTTCTCCTTTAAATTTTACTGCAAACGTGGAAATACACTAAGGATCAAAGAAAAAATCAGTCTAGATGCATTTAACAAGCAGATCAGAAGTATTAACTCTTTGAGCAGTTTTGCCTCTTAAATACTAACCTGCAAGGTCACATAGTTCTGTATCCGTGGCACTGCTCAATGCCTCTTCCAGCTCAGGATCAAGTGACAGCTTATCCTCTATATGGAAATCTTTGGGCTTCTGTTTAGGAACAAATGTTTTTCCTGCAAACAAAATAATTTTTAAATGTCAAAAAGTCGACCTTGAACAGAATAGTTCAATTACTACAACAAAAATCATGCAAAGAGTCTTTGGTCTGTAGATGGCGCAATGAGGATTTTCTGCACAATAATTCTGAATGAACCACAAATGAGCGCATTATAGTTTGTAATACTTCCCTCTTATTTCACGACTCAAACGTTTTACTGAAACTGTTCTTACCGGATGAAACAAATCTACACAACTTCATCTATAAAAAGGTTTTCCAATTTTCCTTAAAACTTGACAATGAGTAATATTTTATAGGACATAGTGCACACCACATGCGTTGGTCAACACAGGCCCAGTGCATGGACACGGCAAAAGCCTTGTTTTGTATTGTGACATTTCACACCCACTGGCTACGCTGTCGGTGAGGCAGGCAGCATTTTACTGCATAAAATGCAGACAAAAACACACCGCTGAGTACATTGTCAGTGCATGTAAATGCATATGTGCCGAGGTATGAACCTATCCTAAAGCTTAGCGTAGAAAGTACCCTCCTGTTAGCTGAATCCTTAACAGAAACCCCAAAATGTTTTTCTAACTTGCCCCTAAACACAAAGTAAACCTCTTATCATACAAAATGGGGGCACCCATTGCTAACCTCTTTCTGAAAATTATAGTTGGCTGGCTGCTATGCTGAACCACTTGCTTCAGTACATTGAGTCACTGACCAAGAACAAGTATGTAGACTAGGAAAGCCAATTTGTCCTAGGTCAATTAATTAAAGTACTGAAGCCAAAGGGTCAGAATTAGGGCTGCAACAACTACATAATCTACTACTACAAATCCCAGCAATAATACATTATACAGCGCAATGCAGAACACCACCAGTTTCAGAGGAATACAACAAATCCCAGTGGTATTCTGCATTGCGCTGTATAATTTATTATTGCTGGGATTTGTAGTCCTCTATAGCCGGTGCCATTCTGCATTAATTGCTGTATAATTTTACACTTTCCATTTCACTATATTGCACACCACATTTTTTTCCCCTTACTTCCACCACTCCAAGCTTGCGCCGATGATGGACTACAATCTCAATACAAACTAGTAGTCTATCAGTGGAGCCATTTAAAAAAAAACAAAAAACAGATTAATTGAATGTAATAATCGACTAACTAATCAATTTTGAAAATAATCGTTAGCTGCAGCCCTAGTCATAATAACAGCCAGGCAACTAACAATTTCAAACGGAAGGCTTAGCAATAGCAGCCGCTGTGTTCTCTTGGGACAGGTTTCCTATAAAGCAGCAGTCACATCAACATGCAGTCACATTACTTTGGGGGATGATTTGCTCTGCCACCCACTTAACAGGCTAAATACGGAGGTACTATGGGATCAATGAGTCCTTATGGGTAGAAGGATATCACTGAAGGATCTCCAACCAGCACACTCTGATCATCAGTAGCAGAATCACTGCTATTTTACGTTGGTTCTACAGCCCTAGGAACAGTTACTCAGATCAGGATCATTATTTAGTGCCCAAAATTAAAAAACAAACAATGGCTGCAGAGCAACTAGGTAATGGAAAGGCACACTACACTTATTATTGGTAAGGATTGCTACAGAAGAAAAAAACTTGGGCTTTGCCATCCACTTTAACACTCAACCCCTAACCCAAACACTTGTAAACGCGAACAATGAACTTCTCATATTTATTCTCTTTTGGTTTAAGTATCCCATTGAAAGTGTTCTGCTATATCTGTTCAATAAAAGCAAATCTGTTAATCTTGTGAGAAATTCAGAGTTGTCCTGTGCCCTTTAGTGTTATCTCAAAGGGCCCTTCTAGCTCTTATCTTGGACTACAGAATAAAAAGCCACAGGAAGAGATTTCAGCTAAGAGCGTGGAATCATTCAAGAGACTACTGGACAAGTTCCTGGGTGACCAGAACATTCAGGGGTACAGGTATAGCTAACAGAAAAATCACGCATGGACACATACACGCACACATCAACTCATAAATGCACACACACAATAGGTTGGACTTGATGGACCTATGTCTTTATTCAACCTCAAATACTATGTAACTATGTTGTAGAGATCTGAGAGTAGCTTGAGTAGATGAGTAGATCAGCAGAAGACACTGGGCAGGGCGGACAACACCCAGCATTTTTGTGGACTAGATACATTTCTGGCAGATGAACAGGTCATTTTTCTCTGCAATGGTCACAAAAGATTGTTATTAACCCAATCTTAAAATAAGTGCAATTTTATAGAATGTACACTTATTCTTCCTGCCCCCAACCCCCTCCAAAGACAACACAGGGCCCACCCTATCCCGCCTCAGATTTATACTTTCCAAGATCTGGCACCCATGGCCTCTGGGGATTGCATACATCCGGCACCGAAGTCCTTTCACTGCGGGACCCGTCTGCATAACAGAGCCCCATAGAAGTCTATGGGATTTGTCTTTCTGCAACTCCCAACCAGGATATGGAGGTAGACAAGCCCATTCACACCAGAATACAGTGCACAAAAAAATTGTGTTGTGGTGCGCTCTAACAGCTGTTTTCTAGAGGTGCACTTATGTGTGTGCCACCATCATAGTGTAAATGGGTCCTAACCGGAACAAGATTTTAGCTTTTAAAATTGGTCATGAAGTTAGAATAGGCATGTGACCTGTATAGCACTGGGCTGTGGTGAGAATCCTCCTGGCTACCCTATGTCTTTTCCTGGCCACGGGGAAATGCTGAGATAACTACATGATTTTCATTCACAGCTACATATGTATGGACAGCTACTTGCGTGCATACTACAAATCCAACAAAGGCTTGCTGGCACGTGTAGTAACACTCACATCAGCTCAATGGACCGATAATACATTAGACTACAAGAAATGTTTAATAACTATACAAAAATGTTTTTCTTTACAATGTGCTAAGCAATGATCTAGAAGAAAGTGACTAGTGTTTGGTTTAAAAAAATATATCTGTATTCGGTGTCAGAGTACTCAGTTGGGTTTCTGCCGCGGTTATACAATTGTCCCTGTGATGTATGTGGCTGCTAATTACCATGCACTGCCAATTAATGCCTGGGGGCAATTTTGGGTGGGTTAGATTGCAGTATGCAGAGGTGAATTGTCGCCCTTGTGGTGTGTAAAGCTGCAGCTTAACATACATTATCAAAGGTGTGTGTGTGTGTGTGTTATGCAAAAGGTGTTTGTAGCGGGGCCCTGTGGAGTGTCAGGCTGCAGATGACCGCACATTGGCAAAATTGAGGTGTCTGGGTGGGTGAATTGTCGCCCCTGTCAAGTGTCAGGGTGCAATTTACCATTACTGTACATTATCAAAGGTTGGAGTGTGTCTGGGTGGGTCAGACTGCAGTATGCAGAGATAGATTGTTGCCCCTGTGGAGTGTCAGGCTGCATATGCTGATTACCATACATTACCAATTAAAAGTTGTGAAGTTTCTGGCCAGAGTCGGACCACAGCAGGCACTTGCCAGCTTTCCCCCCCACCCCACCGCTGGAGGTCATTATGTTAGCGCTGTCTCTCCAGATTTGGGTGGCCGGTCGCTCTGCCATGGAGAATTGGAGATAATGCAGAGGCGACTGGTTAAATAAAAAATTAAGTTCCTGCCCAGAGTAGAGTTACCACCTTTTCTCCAAGTGAAACCCGAAAACTCTAGCGCCGTGCTCAGCAATTTTTTGGGGGGGAGATTATAGAGGGGAGGGAGTAAGGCGGCCGGCTATAGATGACTATAAATCCCAGCAATACATTATACAGCAATGCAAAATAATATGAAGCCACATACTTGGGTTGTTCTGGGGTGGAGCCCTGATGTCTCCAGGGTCTCAAATGGGCTGTGCGTGTTCTCCGGTGGGCTGTGCGGGCACTCAGGAGGGGAGTGCGGGTTCTCAGGTGGGCTATGTGGGATTTCAGGAGTGCTGTGTGGGCTCTTAGGTGGGCTATGTGAGATTTCAGGAGTGCTGTGTGGGCTCTTAGGTGGGCTATGCGTGCTAGCAGGTGTGCTATGTGAACGCTCAGGTGGGCTATGCAGGATCTCAGGTGGCTGTGTGGGGTCTCCAGTGGGCTATGCGTGCTCACAGGTGGCTATGTGGGGTCTCAGGTGGGCTATGCAGGCTTTCAGGAGGTGCTGTGTGGGCTATGTGGTGTCTCACTAGGGGTCCAGAGGCAGGCAGCGTGCTTTCAGAGAGACGGAGGAGATGTGGGGGGCAGCCTGCGTTCCTCTCCGTGGCTCACAGTAAGATACGGCTTCAGGCAGATGTGGCTGCCCGAGGTTCCGCACTTGCTTGGGGACCTAAGCAGCCACATCTGTCAAAAAATTTAAAGTGTTGGTATTGTCTTCAAAGATTCAAAAACCGGACTGTCCGGGTGAATCCCGGACAGGTGGCAACCCTAGCCCAGAGGCCCCTGCAGCTCAATTTGCATGATTTAGACGCATGCGGGAAAAGAATATACTATATTAGATATAATTACACATGCACTGCAAACTAGTGTGGAAATAGTTTTGCCCGGAGATCAGCGTTAAGCCTCAGGCAACATTTTCACATCACGGTGATAGTACTGGTAAGAATTCTGTTGCATCTGTGTAAGTTTATGTATGAATTCCTGGTGGCTACAAACAATGTGACAAATTATCAGAACAGTAAAGGAATAGACACAATCACCAACATTTTTTTTTCTACTTTGTACATCTGATTCCTCCAATCCTCCACCACCAGGGAACCTGAGGTTTTCATTTTTAATTTTTTTTTTATTTAAAGCCAAAAACTACTGTCAGCACAAACACATAGGAGTCATGTTTTTATGACGCCACACTCTAAAATCTATACATGTAGCATCAAGAAAGTCAAATCAGAGACTGAACATGCTCTCACCATTTAAATATTTGTATGGTATGCATGACTGTTTATACTGGAGTGCTGTAATATATATACGCAGTGTTTTGTATTAACTCCCACTGAGATTGTGGTACACATGAAAAACACAAATCTAC